TTGTTCTTATTCTCATATAACAATACGACGGCATTATTTATCAGGCCCGTTTCCGCGCCTTTCTTCTTCTTTTCTTTTCTTTTTTCATAATTTCACGAGTAAAACTTATCATATAAGCGATATGTACAAAATGAAATATAAAACTAAAATTATTAATCTTATAGATAATGATGGATTTCTTAAGTTTTGTATTACTTGTAATCATCTCGTTAAGAATACCCAAATTTCGGCTGCGTGGCTCATAATAAAAAATAACATCACAGACACTGGCACAATCGTAAACTCGTGGCGTAATTGTTCCCATTGACTGTTGATGTTGTTTAGTAATAGTAAAATCAGAGCGTCTGTCACACAGCCGTGCACCGATTGATTCCAACGAGTAGCTCTCTCCAACGCATCACGTTGCTTTTTTTTTGTTACGAAACGGGGGACTTACAGTGGGCAGTGGATGGTTGCGTAAGATGTGATTACAGTCTAGATGGCCCAGTGGAGCATCTGTCGATCGACTTGAGGTAGTAATCCCGCAGTGGTCAAGTGCAAACATATCCCTCCTGCGCTACTGTAGATGCACCAGTAGGCCCATCCTGGAACATTTCAAAAGATATTCAAGGTTAAGATCACTCCACAAAAAAAGAAAAGAAAAATTTCAAGAAAAAGAAGCGGACCGTTACAAAACTATAAGTCTTTCCGCTCTTTACCTCCTCGTGATTCCAATTTATGTTAAAAAATAATTTCCTCTTCGATAAACCCTAAATTCACTTACTACGCTCTATTGTTATATGTAGTTACCTAATTCTTTTCTACGCTGATTATTGTTCATTATATGTACAATGTCTTACATCCTTAACAGTTGTCAACGTTTGTTTATATTCATCCAAGCTAAATCCGGAATTGCTATCTTCTCCGCAAGACTGAACCACTAACGATCCATCTTCTCCCTGAACAAACATCGATGTTTGATGATTACATTTTACAAAATATTTAATACTCAGCCGCCACCTGATATTATATTTCTATTACATGTACATACCTGTGTAACTGGTTGTTCGCCATCATTAACCTTCCGCTTTTTCGAGCACGTATCCGGGTTCGAATCCGATTGTCTCTTCTTATTCGCTGCATCTCCTGGGTTTCGCGGCGAGATACTGCCAGTGTTTCCATTACCAGCAATGTTTCCATTTTTATGTACACTGCTAGAAACCTATTCAACAGAATAAATAATAAATAATGGTCATGATGAAATTATATAGATAAAATCCATACATAGTATAGTAAAAAAAATATTTTCATCGTCAAAAATTTAGTTGTCTTTATACCTTTCTCTCTCGTTTGATCAAACTGGGAGCAACATAATTGTGTAGATCCTTCTTCTTTACATGCTTCGCTTCTATCCACATGCCTTCCTTCAACATGTTCAACTGTTCTGCTTGTCTCTGAACTACAATTGTTAGATAGAAATATTTACTAAAACCATTCAGGAACTATATAACGCTGATTTTTTTTAGAAAAAACACATATTAAAATGTTCTTACTTGAATCGACAAATGATTTTATATCATACGTCAGATCAATATTTAAGTTTTCGCTTTTAGCAAAGAGTAAGCCAATAAACCACATGGAGCAGTGCCCCTCCGGTTCTGGTTCTAACGGTGGAAATGCCTCTGGGTTTACATGTGCCAATGTAATGTGTAGATTCCTTTCCAGTGTACCTGTTTTTAAGAGTTAGGATTTTGCCATTTTGGCATCCGCGAATTATTAGCATTGCAAATATGAAAAGTAATAATATCAAATTCAAATTTGACGCTTCTAAAAGACACAGATTAAGACAGAAATTCGTACAATTCACTGATTTACAACTGCCGCTTACTCCTGCGAAAGATGCGATGTATTTATCAGAAGACCTGAGAATAATTTTCTTTTTAAATTGATATTTCAATTAAAAAAATAACCTGTTTTAATCTACGTCATTTAACTGGAATATATGATACATAATATGATAAGCTAATACCAAGGCCTGGTGATGCTTCATTAGTGACAGTTTCTAAAATTTTAATACGATACATTTTTTTTAAATATTATGTAATTTAAAACCAATGATAAATGTCCTATTACAGTACTATAATGATGCTTGGTACCATGGTATATCTTGATTCACGTTTCTAACTAAAATTTCGCATGCAACATACGACAATGTTCCTTGTTACTCGTAAATAAATGTATACACAGTGAATACGTCCAATAGAATAATACGCATTGTTGTATTTGTTGTGTTTTACCTATCAAATGTCGTAGTTTTGACTTGACAAGGCCGCACCATTCAAGTTGATCCTCTGCTGTTAAACTTCTAGCCAATAATACAATGTAATGTTTATATTTCCCAAAAAAATTTGGAGGTTCAAATAACTTGTCCCACGTTGCTTTTCCCATGATAATCTCTTCTGTTATTGAGAGTCCTGTTTCAAAAGCTTCTTGCATAATAGTTCTTGTTGAAACTGATACATTAAACGTTGAATTTTGTTGAGGATATGCAGGAGTAATAATTGGCATCAAGTGATATCTATCCGATATATTTACCTTTGGAAAGAAAAACATTTGAATATAAAGGATTTCTATTCCTATGAAACACGATTAAAAGTTTTTGTATATAATAAAAAATTCTTACTCTTGGATCCCAAACTGGAAAACCCAAATTAACATTGTCTGGTGGTTTTAAAAGAACTGGCTGTGGCCATTTCCACTGGGAAAATACAAGGAAAAATTTTTCTATTAATGTTGCAGCAACAGCATTTGGATAGAGTTGACATGTTCTTGCGACCAACATTGCCCAAGATACCCCTCCTAGATATCCTAACACATTGCTATATATGCCATGTCCTAAGAACACAAAAAATATGGTTATATTTGAGTAAATCGTAATTAACTATATAAGAAATATGAAAAATAGTCTTTACGTTTTGCCCACAATTTAATAGCCCTAAGTGCCAACCTAAAATTTTCTATATTAGGTACTAAACGCAATATCTCATCTGTCACTCTGCAACCATTGAGACTTCTGACACACTTCTGATCGAGGTTTTTCAAAAGCATATCATCCTTAAGGTCCTGTATATGAAAGTGAATTTTGTTAGATGCACATATAACACAGAAATTATAATTTAATACAATTAATCTCTAACTATATTACCAACCATTGAATCAGGAATTTCTTTAAGTGCTAACTTTGCAAATAACATATCAATTTCTATACCATCAAAGTTCATTTTGATGACTGGTACAAATGCCTCTTCCACTGCCTAAAATAATTAAATAATATAAGACAATAACTATAAAAGTACTTATTCTAATTAATAAATATTTTATATTAGACTCAAGAATTATATACTCATATAGAACCTTATGCATACTGTCAATTAATAATTATGCTAAATATAAGTAGCTACACTTACCACTTAAATGCTAATTGGAAAAAAACTTTATATTAAATGGACAATTAATTATTACTACTGTACAAGATTCATTAAAATACACACCCTTAAATCGGTAACTTCTTCTTGCATTTTCAGTAATTCAAAGAAGGATGTAAAATAGTCCGACCTATAGATGTGACGTGGTACAACACATAGTGCATCTATATCAGCACCTTTGTGATGTACCCCTAACCTATATGAACCAAAAGTATATATTTTACCACCAACTTTTTCAGCAACATTGGATGGCATGTTTCTGGCAATACTTGTGTCCCTTATCCATTGCTTCACCAGTGCATTTAATTTGCTGAATATAAAGTAATAAATTTCATATCTTGATGAATATTGGTCATGTATAAAAGGTAATAAAAAAATATATGAATAAAATACCTTAGAATTTCCATTCTGTGATTTAACTCTTCTTCTGATTCAAACACATTATAAGGTTTTAATGCTTCTTTCAATTCATTTGTCCTATTAAGATCACTGGGCTTTGGTTCCGCTATACTGATAGCAGATGTCATGCCCAATGTGCGTAGATTACCTTCATTTGAAGAAGACTTTGAATTTGAATTAGTACCTTGTGATGACCACATTTTGTAACTCATTAAATTTACTTCAAATCTGCAATATAAAATCCTACTGTATCTAAGAATGAACATTTTAAATTTAATAGTATGTAAGACACATAAACTGTTGCCATTTGATTATGCAAACATTGAACTATATCGTACAATGTATTGGTTATACAAATAACCAAGTAACAAAATTAGTTTTGAATAATTATGTATTTAATAACATATTTAGTTAAAATGTATAATACATTTACATGAAATAAAAAAATATTTAATCTTTAAAACATTTTACTATTATTTTTAACATTTCAAACGTTTCTAAAGTGATATCAATATAAATAAAATTGTTAAAAATAAATAAATATAACGATAAGACTGAAATGTATCTACAAGATTTAAGAAAAAATAAAATTTAATCTTTATTCTATAGAAGTACTGCATATAAAACTTCGATTACACACGCGCTATATAACAAACTACAATAAAAAGGTTCAAATGCACATAAGACTTGCTATAATATGTTGTGAAAACAAGTAGAGCACAAACAAGAAACATAAAAAAATAAAACTTACACATTTATTTCACAAAAATATCTGATATTTTACAAAATATGCGGCGTTCGTAAGAATTATTTAATCGCGCAATTTTCTACGTATAATATGTGTAAGAGATAAAAAACATTTAAAATCGTAGCATTCGCGGTATTATAGATTTCTTACCTCTTTGAATACTTTGTCAAAGGTACAATGACATGATAAAGAAAGGAACTTCAACGTGTTGTCAGGTTATAAAAGACACAAATTTTTGTAACAAAGATGCATTACGTCCATCCAAAGGTCGCGGAAGATTCCTGAAAAGGAAATTGTATCCCTAACGCAAATAGCACGTTCTGAAAGCCCTGCTTAGTCGTAAAGCAGCTTGAACAACTTGTAAACAATTTACGAGGTAGCAAAAGAACTTCGAAGAACGAAGGTTCGTAAGTTATAGACTGTTCGCGTCTATACGATTTTTTGGTACACCATCAATGCGCACGAATTTTACATACTATTAATCGGAATACACTTCACGCACAGGACACATTGTATCGCGCTGTACTATGTAAATAAATAATTAAACGTTATTACTTGAAAATAATGGACACACATATACCCGCACCACACCACCGACAGTATAAACATGGCGTCCCCTGACGGCTCAGTGTATCCATAAAGAATCAAGTGTATAGGATTGCGTTTGCATGCAGAGAGTAATTCTCGGTGCGACAGCTTTGCCATCTTGTGGAGAGATTGAAAGTGACAAAGTTCATCTTGGTGCTTTGCAAATTTTTAAATAAAAATGTAACAATATTTAAACTTTATAATTACAGATTGCGATTTATATTGTATAATTTTATATTTATCATTTCTTTACTTCGAATTGTGTATATGATAAACATTAGGCATGTCGTAAAATATTATAATAGAAGTATTATTTGGAGTTCTAAGCACAGAAATCGCACTGTAGAGGGCAAGCAAACAAATGTCGATTTTCTTAAAAGTGTATAGTTCATGATTTCTATCTGTGTGTACTTTCATCATTCTAGTCGCCGTTGCTTGTACAGAATGATGATATTATACATTTTTATTCCACATAATTTTCCAAGATATCATTTTTTGTTCGTTTAAAGTGGTATTTAAAATAATTCATTTAAATCATTTGATTAAAGTAAGGAATACGTGTATTTATTTCTCTCTTTGCAATTGACAAACATTGTGCAATGTGTTCGCTGTGAACACAAAGAGAGCTTCGATTTGCGAAGTTACTGCACGCGTGCAGTCAAGTCTGGAACTCTTTTATGATAACATGCGATAATTTTTATCGTTATATTTTAAGCATGAAGCCTACTACATTACTACTTCCGAATTTTGTACATTAATAACTTTACTTCCAAAAATTCGTACAAGATACTATACATAATTAATAATCGTGATTTTGTAATTGGTAGTACGTTTGATAAAATAAGAAAATTTTATCTGATGTAAGATTAATATCTTCTATCTTATAATAATTACTATTATACTTAAATAATGGTACTGTTTGCTTAATTTACATTGGTTCCATAAAAGATGTGCGAAATTTAAATATTATATATTTATGCATAAAGAATAAAAACAATAATAGCTTAATTTATGTAATTCTTCTACGACGTCATTGTGGAATCCTCCAGAATCAATATTATGCGTTAACAAGTTTAGACGTGGAATTTTTCGTATTGCTCTTTTGTTTTATAAGCAATGTTACTCAGAATATACGAGATACAAAAGGAAAAAATCTGGCTTATTTATAATTTTTAAATGCAACGAATAGATTACTAAATAATCTTTGAATCAGTATAGATCATACAATGTAATTTTCGGTCTACGACTCTGAAATACTGACTTGATTATAAAACAGTCTGAAATACCGATTGTGTGGAAAAAGTAGATGTCTTGTCGCTATAAGAAACAGGATAGACTGGACGTCTTATGAGACTTCGTGTTCACTGGTCTGAAAAATTTAATATTGCGACAAGAAAATAAAAAAGGACACATTTTTCATTTATTTATTTGTATTTATTTATACTTTATAGATAAAGTTGAAAGAGACGCAGGATTGGTAAGATGATCACGTTACCCTCCGACGGTCGTGTGGTAAAATGTCCAGTCTATCCTGTCTCTCGTTGATGGCTATTTGTTCTCTGTTGATAATGTTGTAAATAATGAGGGAATGGTAAAGGGGTTACGTATCCTCCTAATTTCACGCAAAACTTAAGATAAGCATGTGATATAATTTTTCAATATATCATTTCAAATTGTAGAAGGTACAGTAAAACGTGCGCTGTTAACTCGATCGGTATTTTATACCGACGGACACAAAATCCTGTAAGATATCAAGTTTATCCTGTTCCTCGTTGGTGGTAACATTCAATATCAAATTATTGATTGTTACAAAAACCAACATATGTTGTAAATTGTTCTCATAATATATATTTTTTGAGGCACAACTTATAACAATATTGTCAAATTTATTATTTGTTAATATCATCACTGGATAAAAAAATTAATCGCATAATTTAAGATAAGAACAATGAAAATTATGAAAACGAACAGGAATTGTATTTTTTGTATTGAAGATTCCAAATGACTGGAAATAGATAGCAGAAAGTAATTTATTATTCTTTGTTAAGTTTTTATCAATTTTTATAGAAATCAATATCTGAAAATTCTGTGTTATTGTTGCATCTTTAAATGTACCTGTCAATTAATTATCATTTTAACTAAACAGGATTTTGGAAAGTGTTTTAAATTTAAATTAAACTGCAAAACGAAATTCCTTTACAGTCAGAAATCCAGAAAAATTCAATAGTAAAAAAAAATACTCAATATCCACAATTTCGTAGCCGCAAAATCGTCTCAGCAGTGCACACAAGTGTAAAAAACTGACGTCGTATAACCCCGTTTCATTATTTCAGCATTAATTATACATGTACTCCATCTTAAACATGAGATGCTAAGCTTACATTAAATCCTCTGAGAAACTTGGAACATTTCACTTTAATTTCTACGTTTTTGAACCAAAGAGCCGACGATATTCGTTTCCTCTCACCGTATTCATTTTGTGATCAAATGTGTTAAGTGCAACGCTACCGGCTTGGGTTGTTGCAATTAGTCACAAGAGAAGATCGATGGGTTTCACAAACTTCTTCTTTTTCACGGCTGTGTTCGATGTCGTGGAGCGATTCATCTCTTTCATTGAGGAATGCTGAAAAATAGCTGTCGGTTGTGTCGATAGAAGATCGCCAAAGATCCAAAACTGAAATTGGAAACCATTGGTTCGCAATTAAACCTGTCAGGAACCAATCTAATCAGCCTTCTCGAAGCAAAAATTATAATTTTATTATAAATATTATTAGTTTCAGAAATTAATCCCATGCTTTCCATTTAATCGTTTTTTTCATTTTGCTTTAGAGGTGAAACTAGGCCATTTTATTTAGTGGACGTTAAATTTGTTTTAAAAAGGCTCCGAATTAATTTGTGTATCTTATACTTTTTTATGTTTAACCAGAATTGTGTTAATAAATATAAATTATTTGGAGAATATAAAAAATTAATATCGGGCATGTTAATAACGAAATATGTAGTATCCGATTTTACATTTTAATACATTTTCATTTTATAAATATTTACGAATTTTTAAAATGCTAGTATCACGGAATTAAGAAGTTCAAATTGAGAAACATTTAATGAAGTCGATTTGGTTAAATTAGATTTTGAAAATTTTGGTCTATAGCTGTCGCAAATACTGTTTATCAACGAATTATCTAGCAATTCATTGTGTTACATATATTCAAACATTATTCATAGTATTTAATAATAGGTAATGAAATATTGGACGCGTTCCAATCGGAAATAGGAATTTAGCTTTTCCGTTGGTAGTTGAATTTTCGGTTGAGGTGATTTCGACGTATTGTTACTGTCAATACAATGCATTCATATTTATACACTAATACTATTTAGAAATACTGTATTCATATGTAAATCATTCTTCATTCTAAAATCATGTTCTAATTCTAAGGCGAATAATAATTAATTTAATGCACAATAGGCAATTACAATGATTGCTCAATAAAAAAATCTGTTTTTTCGCTTTTCAAACTATTTTATTTAAAGATCGCATAACTTCAGATGGTTAACAGTAAAAATGTTACATTTGATTATTAATTACGATTATAAGAGCGTTCGTTAATACGATAAAACATCATTAATCATAAGTCATTTATATATATATATATATATACTTTTTAAATTTTGAAAAAGTGGAAAGTATCTGACAATTAATTAATTATACCCTATACTATATACCAAAATCGATTTCAAACTAACATTTCAATAAATTTCACGAATCATCGAAATTCGATGAAACTTTCAAGAATAAAATATAGTTAAAATATTTCAAAATGAAACAAAATCGACATGATGTTGTTTGAACTGTTTCACATATTCTTATATCATTTTTCTTCGTCTCTGGTTTGAAAACAAAAGGAGTACAACCGTAACGATAAGAAGGTAATAATGATCGGCGACGGCCTCGTCAACGAAAACTTTCGCCCCCCTTAAAACAAAGCGGCGGGTGTGGACACAATACAGGTTCGATTGTAATCTCGAAGGAAGGCACGGGGGCGCGTTAATATACTCTCAGGTGGCCGTCTTCTTATCGTGCGTTCACATCGCGGCTTAAGTGGCGAATTAAGGTCGTGACCGGTGATCTAGGACGATCGCCATTGCCGCAGTTGATTTTCTGGTAGATGCGCTCGTTAAGTTGGATAAAATCTCGGGGGAGTTATGCGAGTTCGCCGTGGCACACGTGCCACCTGGAACAGTTTTCTGAACCGCTGTATTTCCGATTGGCGTGAAAAGGACAGTGCCATTTGTAGACGCAACGGGGTCAGTAGAGATAATCGACAAAATAGTAGTGTTTCACGACGCGACTTTCAAAAAACATCTCAACGAATTGCAAGCATCTTAATATTCTTAACACTAAACGCACCGCGATCGACCAGATGACCGGTTTCAAAATTTGATTTAAAATTCTACGTTTTTCTTCATTCATTTAACTTTATATCAATTTCTATATTATCCAGTTAATCAGTTTTTCAATGTTTGTTTTTCCTTCTGTTTCCATTAAAATAATTTATTATCTAATTGCTTTACCTTTATTTTATAACCTTAAATTTGAATGATTACGATAGAAATAAATATAGATATAATATATACAAAGTGTCGGTACGTTCAGTGTTAATGTTTCGCAACTCATTAAGTCTAGTAGAACATTAACATCCCTATTCTTCCAATGCGATAAGAATCATATATTTCGTACAGATAATTAATATGAAACCGTAATTATGGTACAAAGTTAATTTTAATACGCTTAAAGCTTGATAACTATATACACTTATTATATTATATAATTTATTTGCGTAGTTATTATACACATAAATTAATACAATTTACATAGGTTATATCAAAATTACTTGAAATACATAATGACTTTTAAGTTAATTACAGAATATTTGACATTGCTTTTACATTTAACGACTCCCTCATAAGAGTATATAATGCTATCTATTATTTCCATAAGTAATGGGATAAATGGTATCAGTGAAATAGTAGTGGTTCATAGAG